GAAAAAGAAAACAAGAAAAAAAAAAAAAAAAAAAAAAAAAAAAAAAAGAAAAAAGAAAAAAGAAATCTAGACTGCGGGGAAGTGGAATATGAAAATAAGGCTTAAGGCGTCAGTTCCATATTTTTCAAAGCCAAATACGTAATGTTGAGAAGAGAAGAAATAATAATTAAAAGGTTCAAATCTTGTAATTTAATATTGTTATTAAAACTTTGCTGTATATCCTATTCTTTAACATTTGATGTTAATATAAAATTACTTGGCAATGCTTGACATTTCAAATAAACTTTTTTCTACGGTTTTATTTGCAAGTGTTCCATTAATTTTACTAGCTACAGTTGGGTTACAAAGAGTCTGAAATCTAAAAGGACACTGTCAAGGTTGGGTCAGTGTTTTAGCTGTTGGCAGTGTTGCCACCCCCAGCTCACTTGAATCTGTTCAACGGTTTTTTCTACAGATGAGCCCAAGCAGTGATGCTCAGATACACATTGTGAACTCTGAAGATCAAGGTTGTTCTGGGTTGGAGTGGTACTTTCATACCAGCATATGAGGAGTCAGATAGGTGCTGACTTAGAGCTCCTCTTAACTCAGACGTGCAGGGACTTATGATCCAAAGATTTGGTTCATATCTATCTCTACTTTTGTACAATTGCATTCATAAATACATGTACAGAGAGAGAAGACTATTGGTAAAAATTGATAAATGGCAAGCAGTAAAATAGTGTTAAATATCTTTTTAAAGTATGAAACAAGTGCAGATCTCAAATTGTTCCTTTAATGAATCAGTTTTCAAACTGTTCAAAGGTAATTCCAAGCAGTAGCCAGTAAAGTTCTTTGTTATGAAAAAAACCCCAAAACCTTGACAATGTCTTTTTAAATTAGAATCGATAACTTGAATTAGATGCAAGTCTGTACTGATCAAAATATTAAAACTTTCCTGAATCTTAATCATTATGAATATTCTTTGCAATCTGAAGGTACCATACATTTTAATTATGTGTATTTAAAAATGATAACTCTGCTTACAAAACAAAAAGGAATCCTAGGAGGGGTGCAATAACATTAATTTGAATGCTAGTGCAAATCAAAGCAACATCATGTTTCTCTAGCTTTCCCTGTAGATAAAATTCCGACCAGTGGGTTGAAAAGCTTATATTTTCCTACATTGTGGATACATTGCCTCGTGCAGTATCAGTAAATCTCTTTTTTTATTTTGGGCTTAAATTAAATTTGAAATAGGACTTGCAGTTTTAGTTGTAAATAATTTCTTAGGCTTAAGTAAAATATTTACTGAACATTGAAGAAAACAGCATTTATCAGAAACTTTGAATCCCTTCTTGTGGTACAGGCTCTAAGCCTGTTTCTGCAAGCATTTGAACACAGTGGTGGTCAGCAAAAGAGGTATATACAGTGTTTTCAATCTCAAACTTATCAGTAACTTCCCCCTACTTAAACTAAACCATTTCTTGACTCATCTGTAATCCATAGGTGTTCTGTGCATTACTCCTCATCAGGAATGTTGGAGGATGCATTCTAATTTTTCATTTTCAATGCTAGAATGACCAAATTAAAAAAAATATTCATATAGTAATCTAAACTTTCAAAAAAGTAGAATTGCATTACTGTATACAGTGGAAAGCTATTTATTGTACCTCTGGGCTTATTCCTCTAAAAATGGTAGCGTAAAAAATCTTTGTCAAGCCTGAACTGATGTATATAACTGAAATAATGTAAAGTTATATTTTCATGTTTTTATACTTAACAACATGATGGGAATACATAATGTATGAGTATTTCAATTACAGATAATATTGATTGGATAATACACATCTCGGTTAAAAAGCAGTAATCATAGTTTAATATCCATGTTACAGTACATCAGTATATTGCTATATAAAGTATGTCTCTGTGCATTTAAGTGAAAAGTAGTCAAGAGTGATGAAAGCTGTCCAAGGGTTTTTTATTCATTTTATATGAAAACTGTTATGGAGCAACCAAAATGTTTATGAACTCAAACTTGTGTAAATTTCAAAATGTCCTTTACTGTAGCTTTTTGTTTACAGTACAGTATCTTATTTTCTGCTTTGTTAAATGGGTAACAGTACAAAGCTGGACATACACTTTCTAAAACATTAACGTTCCCATTTTTTCATGTATACTTATATGACAGAAAATGTTTCTGATTTTATTTTTCAATCTTAACACATGATGGCTTTTCTGGAGTGTTGTATAAAATTCAATCATACATAAAAAATCTTCTTAAAAAAGGCAAAAGACCTTTAATGTCTGTTTAGTATTATTGAAATCTGGTTTCTTATTTATTATAAATGTATTTTCCTAAGATTTTACATAGATTGAACTTGTTTGTCACCACAGACATGAGATTTCCTTGAAGACTTCTGCAAGGAGAATATAAATCTTGCCCCAAATCATCTTGTCATGCAAGATGCGGTAGATTTACCGCAGTTTGCGTTATCGATAACTGAAGTAATGTAACTTTCTTGACAAAAATATAATTATATTTCTGGAATGTAACCTTCTTGATCATGGTTATACTAACAGTACAGATAGGACGATAATGCTAGTGGTTTAAGTATGTATTCAGTAACTCTACTTAAAAATTGCCAGCTTGAGTCATTAATTTCTTGCTTCAACAGATTGTTGATGTGTCCAAAGCAGAGAAAGAACCTGAGAAATGGCAAGTGTTTTAGGTACATATTAGTACTGTTGCTCCTAGTGGTATAGTACAACAAAGAGATTGCTAAAATAGCGAGCAAATTCAGTTTGAAGTTGTTTGCAATGTGAAAAGTTCAACAGTTTTATTTAAATGCATTACATGTTTTAACAGAATGTGTCTCCTGGGTATCAACCTCCTCTTTGGCTGATAGATGTGGACAATATCTTTACACAAAGTACAGTGCACAGATAATTGTATTTTTAAATACAAAGATGTAATTTCATTTATCGTTTTGTACAGTTACTTACATGAATACAGTTGTCACCAGCAAAATAGAATCAGTAGCAGCTGTTCTGCATGATATCCCTAGAGGCTACTCAGACCTGTTTCACAGTACCAAAGTTTATTTTTTTATTAAATCTTTTCATTTATCCTGTCATGGGATCACAAAAATTTGCTGTGAGAACCTGTCAAGTCCAGATTATTTTAGGAATTCATATTGTATCAAGCACTTAGAATAAAATTCAGCAATAATTTAGCTGTGGACTTAACTTTGAACATTTTCCCTAGCATCAGTTTTTGTAGATGATAGACAGTATGATATACCTGTGTGAGATATGATAGAGGTAGGGTATTGTATACAGTAATGGCACCTATGTGACAAGTTTCATTTAATCTAAGCCTACTGTTGGTTTTCCTGAAATTTCTGGTCATACTACTCCTAATATGCTAAAGTTTGGGGCTGCTTCAAATACATCAATGGTAAATTGCCCTAGAATTGTTTTTTTCTGTTTTAAATGCTCTCTTTCCTCTCTCCCCAAAGAAGCAGTTTGATAAGCAAGTTTGCATCTAATGTCTGGGGACCTGCAGGAACTTGAAATGATAACAACTTCGTAACAAAGAGTAGCAGTTAATTCCTACTTGTATTTAGTTGGTCAGCTCCTTGTACCCTGAAGTAACTGTAATATTTGTAATGTATCTTTTGTTTAGAGACTTCCATAATGAATATCACTTTGTTGATCACAATTTTAGTTAGAGTAATTTAGTGCTTTAACATAAAATTTACTGCATTGATATTCTTTGAAGAAAAGGAAATCTTTAAAATAGGATTTTTGTAAACAAGTGGCAAAACAATAGAACACAGTAAGATAAATACAGAAATTCTGAGAATTACAGATCTAACTCACCTGCAGCTTTTTTCATGTTGTGAGTCCTTCTGACAATCCCTAATCGTATTGTTAGGGCATATTACGTGATGTGCTTTCTTTCTTTCCCTTTTGCCCCACCACATGCGGTTACTTTTTAGGTTGGTAGGCAGATAGGAAATATAATTACTGAATATAAAACTTACTATAATTTTTAAAAAAAATGATTTGGCAGTCATTCAAAATGTTTATTATAACTCCTTGCATATGTCTATATTAAAGAAGCAGTGATGATAAAGGTGGGAAGGAGATCTCAGGTCATCTAAGCTAAACACTTAATTCAAGTGGCATCATCCACTGCACTGTTCTTCTATCAGTCTCCTTTGTACATCTTTTATTGCTAGTGAAAATTTGGCTACCTCTGTAGATTTCTCAGTACTTTACTTGCCTCAGTGGTAAGAAAATTCTTTATAGCTAGAAGAAAAGCTTGATCCCACTTAGTTCCACAAAGTTGTCCAGTGAATGACTTTGTAGTCTTCTCCCAAAGTTTTTACTCACAATACATGTACAACTCTCACTCAACAGAGAAGGACCATGACTCCATGCTGTAGGCATAGACAAAAAGGTTGCATTTCATTTGTCATGATTTTTAACAAATACTTGACTTTTCAGAAAGACTAACTTCTGTGTTAAAGAATTTTCTCCTCCCAGTCTTCCTACTGAAGATGTAATTCAAAATATATATTGAAATTAAACCAGCTTCTATTTCATTGCTTTAAAAATCCCAAAACTAACTTTGAAAATGTGTCTTATAGAATAGAAAAGGGCTGCTAAACATTAGTGCCTAGACCAGCCGCTTGAAAATGTCTTCAGTTAGTTCATATCTAGCTATGGTGGGAGAAATGCTACAAAAAAGGGGGTTCCAATGGATCCCAGGAGCCGTGCAGGACTGCGCTGCCTTTGTGTCTTTCTGTGCACAGAAGGGAAGCAGGTGGGCAAACCTGGAGTAGGAGTTGGAGAGGCAGTTTCATGTCATTTTTCTAACCTCCCTCAATCCTTAAAGGTAAAGGCACATCCCAAAGAGACACCAGAGAGGATTTATCCCTATTTTCTAAGGACAGAAAATATAATTAGTTTTTTTCCTTTTAAAGACCCACTGTTAGTGCAGATTTGAAATGATA